AAAATAAAAAAAAAAATAAAAACGAGCAATATAATTTGACCCAAATAAATAAACAAAGCGACTTCCGGTAAAAATAACCGCCATAATAGAATACCCACAATGCACCACTAACCCGTATATATATAAATAGCCGAGAAAAATAACAGCATATGTGGCCTGACGATTGCATATAGCATGAAACAGACTGTCGCCACTAAGTGTTGACTTCTATGTTCACTTTTATATATATATATATATATATATATATATATATATATATATATATATATATATATATAAAAATATAAACATATCCTCTGTTGAAATACACGTTTTTGAATAATGAGATGTCAAACAGTTTAGGTAAACATATCCTTTCTTTGGTGAAATTCGTCTCTTCTGTTCACCGTCTGGTTTTTGAATGCTGTTTTTTCGAGGACTGTCTTCTCCAATTGATTCTTGCCACAGTTTAGGTTAACCGAATCGTTTCTGTCCTCAACAAGGGGTAAATGGAGAGTTCTGGCCTTTCTTTGGTCTTTCTTCGTCTCTTCTGTTCACCTTCTGGTTTTTTTGAAGGATGCTGTTTTTTTTTCGTGGACTGCTCTTCTCCAATTGATTCTTTCTGCAACTTCTCTTCAAATAACCCGATCGATTTCTGTCCTCAGCAAGGTGGTATTCAGGGAATGGAGAGTTCTAGCCTTTTCTTTGGTCTTTCTTCGTCTCTTCTGTTCACCTTCTGGTGTTTTTGAAGGATGCTGTTTTTTTTCGTGGACTGCTCTTCTCAATTGATTCTTGCTGCAACTTCCGTCTCTCAAATAACCGGATCGATTTCTGTCCTCAGCAAGGTGGTATTCAGGGAATGGAGAGTTCTGGCCTTTCTTTGGTCTTTCTTCGTCTCTTCTGTTCACCTTCTGGTGTTTTTTGAAGATGCTGTTTTTTTCGTGGACTGCTCTTCTCCAATTGATTCTTTCTGCAACTTCCGTCTCTCAAATAACCGGATCGATTTCTGTCCTCAGCAAGGTGGTATTCAGGGAATGGAGAGTTCTAGCCTTTCTTTGGTCTTTCTTCGTCTCTTCTGTTCACCTTCTGGTGTTTTTGAAAGATGCTGTTTTTTTTCGTGGACTGCTCTTCTCCAATTGATTCTTTCTGCAACTTCCGTCTCTCAAATAACCCGATCGATTTCTGTCCTCAGCAAGGTGGTATTCAGGGAATGGAGAGTTCTAGCCTTTCTTTGGTCTTTCTTCGTCTCTTCTGTTCACCTTCTGGTGTTTTTGAAGGATGCTGTTTTTTTCGTGGACTGCTCTTCTCCAATTGATTCTTGCTGCAACTTCCGTCTCTCAAATAACCGGATCGATTTCTGTCCTCAGCAAGGTGGTATTCAGGGAATGGAGAGTTCTGGCCTTTCTTTGGTCTTTCTTCGTCTCTTCTGTTCACCTTCTGGTGTTTTTTGAAAGATGCTGTTTTTTTTTTCGTGGACTGCTCTTCTCCAATTGATTCTTTCTGCAACTTCCGTCTCAAATAACCTGATCGATTTCTGTCCTCAGCAAGGTGGTATTCAGGGAATGGAGAGTTCTAGCCTTTCTTTGGTCTTTCTTCGTCTCTTCTGTTCACCTTCTGGTGTTTTTGAAGGATGCTGTTTTTTTCGTGGACTGATCTTCTCCAATTGATTCTTTCTGCAACTTCCGTCTCTCAAATAACCGGATCGATTTCTGTCCTCAGCAAGGTGGTATTCAGGGAATGGAGAGTTCTGGCCTTTCTTTGGTCTTTCTTCGTCTCTTCTGTTCACCTTCTGGTGTTTTTGAAGATGCTGTTTTTTTTCGTGGACTGCTCTTCTCCAATTGATTCTTTCTGCAACTTCCGTCTCTCAAATAACCCGATCGATTTCTGTCCTCAGCAAGGTGGTATTCAGGGAATGGAGAGTTCTGGCCTTTCTTTGGTCTTTCTTCGTCTCTTCTGTTCACCTTCTGGTGTTTTTTGAAGATGCTGTTTTTTTCGTGGACTGATCTTCTCCAATTGATTCTTGCTGCAACTTCCGTCTCTCAAATAACCGGATCGATTTCTGTCCTCAGCAAGGTGGTATTCAGGGAATGGAGAGTTCTGGCCTTTCTTTGGTCTTTCTTCGTCTCTTCTGTTCACCTTCTGGTGTTTTTTTGAAGATGCTGTTTTTTCGTGGACTGATCTTCTCCAATTGATTCTTTCTGCAACTTCCGTCTCTCAAATAACCAGATCGATTTCTGTCCTCAGCAAGGTTGTATTCAGGGAATGGAGAGTTCTGGCCTTTCTTTGGTCTTTCTTCGTCTCTTCTGTTCACCGTCTGGTGTTTTTGAAGGATGCTGTTTTTTTCGTGGACTGCTCTTCTCCAATTGATTCTTGCTGCAACTTCCGTCTCTCAAATAACCGGATCGATTTATGTCTTCAGCAAGGTGGTATTCAGGGAATGGAGAGTTCTGGCCTTTCTTTGGTCTTTCTTCGTCTCTTCTGTTCACCTTCTGGTGTTTTTGAAGGATGCTGTTTTTTTCGTGGACTGATCTTCTCCAATTGATTCTTTCTGCAACTTCCGTCTCTCAAATAACCAGATCGATTTATGTCTTCAGCAAGGTGGTATTCAGGGAATGGAGAGTTCTGGCCTTTCTTTGGTCTTTCTTCGTCTCTTCTGTTCACCTTCTGGTGTTTTTGAAGGATGCTGTTTTTTCGTGGACTGATCTTCTCCAATTGATTCTTGCTGCAACTTCCGTCTCTCAAATAACCAGATCGATTTCTGTCCTCAGCAAGGTGGTATTCAGGGAATGGAGAGTTCTGGCCTTTCTTTGGTCTTTCTTCGTCTCTTCTGTTCACCCTCTGGTGTTTTTTGAAGGATGCTGTTTTTTTCGTGGACTGCTCTTCTCCAATTGATTCTTTTCTGCAACTTCCGTCTCTCAAATAACCGGATCGATTTATGTCTTCAGCAAGGTGGTATTCAGGGAATGGAGAGTTCTGGCCTTTTCTTTGGTCTTTCTTCGTCTCTTCTGTTCACCTTCTGGTGTTTTGAAGGATGCTGTTTTTTTTCGTGGACTGATCTTCTCCAATTGATTCTTTCTGCAACTTCCGTCTCTCAAATAACCAGATCGATTTATGTCCTCAGCAAGGTGGTATTCAGGGAATGGAGAGTTCTAGCCTTTCTTTGGTCTTTCTTCGTCTCTTCTGTTCACCTTCTGGTGTTTTTGAAGGATGCTGTTTTTTTCGTGGACTGCTCTTCTCCAATTGATTCTTGCTGCAACTTCCGTCTCTCAAATAACCCAATCGATTTCTGTCCTCAGCAAGGTTGTATTCAGGGAATGGAGAGTTCTGGCCTTTCTTTGGTCTTTCTTCGTCTCTTCTGTTCACCGTCTGGTGTTTTTGAAGGATGCTGTTTTTTTTTCGTGGACTGATCTTCTCAATTGATTCTTTCTGCAAATTCCGTCTCTCAAATAACCAGATCGATTTATGTCTTCAGCAAGGTGGTATTCAGGGAATGGAGAGTTCTGGCCTTTTTTGGTCTTTCTTCGTCTCTTCTGTTCACCTTCTGGTGTTTTTGAAGGATGCTGTTTTTTTTCGTGGACTGATCTTCTCAATTGATTCTTTCTGCAACTTCCGTCTCTCAAATAACCAGATCGATTTCTGTCCTCAGCAAGGTTGTATTCATGGAATGGAGAGTTCTGGCCTTTCTTTGGTCTTTCTTCGTCTCTTCTGTTCACCTTCTGGTGTTTTTTTGAAGGATGCTGTTTTTTTTCGTGGACTGCTCTTCTCCAATTGATTCTTTCTGCAACTTCCGTCTCTCAAATAACCGGATCGATTTCTGTCCTCAGCAAGGTGGTATTCAGGAATGGAGAGTTCTGGCATTTCTTTGGTCTTTCTTCGTCTCTTCTGTTCACCTTCTGGTGTTTTTTGAAGGATGCTGTTTTTTCGTGGACTGATCTTCTCAAATTGATTCTTTCTGCAACTTCCGTCTCTCAAATAACCGGATCGATTTCGGTCCTCAGCAAGGTGGTATTCAGGGAATGGAGAGTTCTGGCCTTTCTTTGGTCTTTCTTCGTCTCTTCTGTTCACCTTCTGGTGTTTTTGAAGGATGCTGTTTTTTCGTGGACTGATCTTCTCCAATTGATTCTTTCTGCAACTTCCGTCTCTCAAATAACCGGATCGATTTCGGTCCTCAGCAAAAGGTGGTATTCAGGGAATGGAGAGTTCTAGCCTTTCTTTGGTCTTTCTTCGTCTCTTCTGTTCACCTTCTGGTGTTTTTGAAGGATGCTGTTTTTTTCGTGGACTGATCTTCTCCAATTGATTCTTTCTGCAACTTCCGTCTCTCAAATAACCGGATCGATTTCGGTCCTCAGCAAGGTGGTATTCAGGGAATGGAGAGTTCTAGCCTTTCTTTGGTCTTTCTTCGTCTCTTCTGTTCACCTTCTGGTGTTTTTTGAAGGATGCTGTTTTTTTTCGTGGACTGATCTTCTCCAATTGATTCTTTCTGCAACTTCCGTCTCTCAAATAACCGGATCGATTTCGGTCCTCAGCAAGGTGGTATTCAGGGAATGGAGAGTTCTAGCCTTTCTTTGGTCTTTCTTCGTCTCTTCTGTTCACCTTCTGGTGTTTTTGAAGGATGCTGTTTTTTTCGTGGACTGCTCTTCTCCAATTGATTCTTTCTGCAACTTCCGTCTCTCAAATAACCCGATCGATTTCTGTCCTCAGCAAGGTGGTATTCAGGGAATGGAGAGTTCTGGCCTTTCTTTGGTCTCTCTTCGTCTCTTCTGTTCACCTTCTGGTGTTTTCGAAGGAGGTTGTTTTTTTTTTTTTTTTTTTTTCGATCTCAACCTTCTGTAAATGACGCTAAAATATATCACGAGTTCAAAACATTAAAAACTTGTGTGGGCGAAGATGGCTCCGTCTGAGTGGGTGGGTGGGGGAGGATAATTTAATCAACTTAGGAATAACAAAAGCTTATAATCTAGTCCTGATTATATGTTTAATAGAATTTAATATAAATGACTAGAGAATATATCCACCGCAAGAAGTGATATAAAGCAGAGTTTCAATCAATCAATCAATCAATCAATCAATCAATCAATCAATCTATCTATCTATCTATCTATCTATCTCTGTCTGTTGATTATTTACCTATCTATTTATCTATGTTATATAATAATTAATCTCCAGAAATTTTGGAAATTTGAAAACACTAATGACATTGGGAAGAAAATTCCGTGAAAGCAAAGTAAGAGTAAAATCAAGCAGTCAGTTAGTTATGTGCCATGCGTGATACACGCTCAGACGATCATGTATCTTTCGATACATGACGAGGCAGATTTTTTCCCGCAGTACGTTGCCATTTCTTTCTTCAGTTGCCATCCGGTCTGTCCTGCTATTTACCCATAGCTGGAGGGAGGATTCACACCTTTCCCAGGTGTATTAACACGTAAGCGAATGTAATAGATTTGACTGGAATTCGAACTCAGCTCTCTCGATTCCTCAGTTCGAGCCGTTATCCATTACTCCCCCGTAAAATCAATAGTATTATTTTAGAAGATGAAAATTTCAGCTGAGTGTTACTGGCTTTAATGACCAACGGATTTTGCTACATGGCATAACAAGTTCCCGTGGGCTATAAAACGTGTTTGAATCTTACTGGTTTTTCTTTGCTCTATGTTCGTCTTTTCTATTTGTCTTGTGGTGTTTTCGATGGATGTTATTTTTTTTTTCGTGGACTGCTCTTCTCCACTTCATTCTTTCTTCAGCTTCCAATTGACCGGATCGATTTCTGTCCACAGCAAGGTGTTTTTGAGCTGATCCTTGAATCAACGTCGTGGAGCTCCACTTGCCAGATGCGAGCTCCGAGAAGAGAATTTATTTCGAGAGGCAGATGTCTGGCATTTCGGCGAGGTGTCCGGCTAATCGAATTCGGTGGTCAATCAGGATGCTTTCATGGCTTTCCATCTTACAAGATAACAGAAAAAAAAATATGTAATAAACTATAATGTAGCGGAACTTCATAGTTTTTTTAATTCTAAATCATACCACAGGTTGACCCAAGCCCTGTGAGCGAAATTGGGTAGACAGAACACATGGAGACCGTCGATAGTTGTACTAGCAAGAAGTCACAGGTCATCGTGTCTGACGGTTTGAGTGTGCTGCTCTTGTTTAGATTGTTGATCACGCTAGATAACACGCTCTCTCCCATAAACTATAACTAAGATCTGCTCAGTATAGTTGCAATATAAACTAGAGGTTGGCTCTGTGGGTGTTGAATAAATGCAAATGCGCCTGGGTAAGCGTTTGCAATAGGGATTGGGTAGCAGCTCTAGTAGACGGGTATCCTCGAATAGGATTGGCCAGTTTTTATTATTACTTCAGCTACAGGAAGAGATTTAATTAAGATAAAACAAGATAATAACATTAAACCTGAAGCAGGAATTTACCAAATCGGCTACAAAAAGGTTTCTAATTAATGATGAGTGTAAAAAAAAACATTTAACGCTTCTAGCTCTTTCTGTCTCTCCCTTTCTCTCTTTGTCCTTCTCTCTGTTTTTCCTCTCTCTCCTTCTCTTTATCTCCCCTTCTCTTTCACTCCCCTTCTCTTTCTTTATCTCTGTTTCCATTTTTCTCTCTATTTCTGTCTTTCTCTCTCTCTCCCTCTATTTCTATCTGTATCTTTCTCTCTATATTTATCACTCTTTCTTTATTTCTTTCTCTATTTCCTTCTCTTTTTTCTTCGTTCTCTCTCTCTTTCTCTCTGTCATTATAGAGATTTTTTAAGCGTAGCTTAGATGTGGCACAAGGCCGAAAGTATGGGGCACCCAGTGAGGATCGAACTCACTACTCATTCGTAATTATTCTAGCGAGACAAACTTGCTAACCATTACACTACCTCGAGGTTACCAATAGTGATTTTCCAAGCGTAGCTTGGATGTGGCACAAGGCCGAAAGTATGGGGCACCCTGTGAGGATCGAACTCACTATTCAGTCGTAATTGTTCTAGCGAGACAAACTTGCTAACCATTACACCGCCTCGAGGTGCCCTCTCTCTGTCATTATATATTTTTCTTTCAGTCTCTGTTTCCTTTTATTTCTGTTTCTTTCTCTCTCTCTTGCTCTCTCTCTCACTCTTGCTCTCTCTCTCTCTCTCTCTCTCTCTCTCTCTCTCTCTCTCCTAACTTACCTCTTTACCTATATAGGTTCCTCTCTAAATACGAAGTTTAACTTCGCAATTGAAAACCGTGTTTTGGAAATCGGAGAAATGCCTTGAAAATCAGCATATTCTTAGCTTTTCATGCGACGAACAGACATGCCGGGAAAGTCTTAAATATTTCACCCGCCAAACGGGTATTCTGTCTTCCCTTCTCTCTCTCTCTCTCTCTCTCTCTCTCTCTCTCTCTATCCTAACTTACCTCTTTACCTATATAGGTTCCTCTCTAAATACAAAGTTTAACTTCGCAATTGAAAACCGTGTTTTGGAAATCGGAGAAATGCCTTGAAAATCAGCATATTCTTAGCTTTTCATGCGACGAACAGACATGCCGGGAAAGTCTTAAATATTTCACCCGCCACCAAACGGGTATTCTGTCTTCCCTTCTCTCTATCTCTCTCTCTCTCTCTCTCTTGAAACTCTCTCTCTCTCTCTCTCTCTCTCTTAAATATTTCACCAAACGGGTATTCTGTCTTCTCTCCTCTCTCTCTCTCTCTCTCTCTCTCTATCTCTTTACCTATATAGGTTCCTCTCTAAATACAAAGTTTAACTTCGCAATTGAAAACCGTGTTTTGAAATCGGAGAAATGCCTTGAAAATCAGCATATTCTTAGCTTTTCATGCGACGAACAGACATGCCAGGAAAGTCTTAAATATTTCACCCGCCAAACGGGTATTCTGTCTTCCTCCCTCTCTCTCTCTCTCTCTCTCTCTCTCTCTCTCTCTATCCTAACTTACCTCTTTACCTATATAGGTTCCTCTCTAAATACAAAGTTTAACTTCGCAATTGAAAACCGTGTTTTGGAAATCGGAGAAATGCCTTGAAAATCAGCATATTCTTAGCTTTTCATGCGACGAACAGACATGCCAGGAAAGTCTTAAATATTTCACCCGCCAAACGGGTATTCTGTCTTCCTTCTCTCTCTCTCTCTCTCTCTCTCTCTCTCTCTCTATCCTAACTTACCTCTTTACCTATATAGGTTCCTCTCTAAATACAAAAAGTTTAACTTCGCAATCGAAAACCGTGTTTTGGAAATCGGAAAATGCCTTGAAAATCAGCATATTCTTAGCTTTTCATGCGACGAACAGACATGCCGGGAAAGTCTTAAATATTTCACCCGCCAAACGGGTATTCTGTCTTCCTTCTCTCTCTCTCTCTCTCTCTCTCTCTCTCTCTCTCTCTCTCTCCCTAACTTACCTCTTTACCTATATAGGTTCCTCTCTAAATACAAAGTTTAACTTCGCAATTGAAAACCGTGTTTTGGAAATCGAAAAATGCCTTGAAAATCAGCATATTCTTAGCTTTTCATGCGACGAACAGACATGCCGGGAAAGTCTTAAATATTTCACCCGCCAAACGGGTATTCTGTCTTCCTTCTCTCTCTCTCTCTCTCTCTCTCTCTCTCTCTCTGTCTAACTTACCTCTTTACCTATATAGGTTCCTCTCTAAATACAAAGTTTAACCATCGCAATTGAAAACCGTGTTTTGGAAATCGGAGAAATGCCTTGAAAATCAGCATATTCTTAGCTTTTCATGCGACGAACAGACATGCCGGGAAAGTCTTAAATATTTCACCCGCCAAACGGGTATTCTGTCTTCCCTTCTCTCTCTCTCTCTCTCTCTCTCTCTCTCTCTCTCTCTCTCTCTCTATCCTAACTTACCTCTTTACCTATATAGGTTCCTCTCTAAATACAAAGTTTAACTTCGCAATTGAAAACCGTGTTTTGGAAATCGGAGAAATGCCTTGAAAATCAGCATATTCTTAGCTTTTCATGCGACGAACAGACATGCCAGGAAAAGTCTTAAATATTTCACCCGCCAAACGGGTATTCTGTCCTCCCTTCTCTCTCTCTCTCTCTCTCTCTCTCTCTCTCTCTCTCTCTCCCTAACTTACCTCTTTACCTATAGGTTCCTCTCTAAATACGAAGTTTAACTTCGCAATTGAAAACCGTGTTTTGGAAATCGGAGAAATGCCTTGAAAATCAGCATATTCTTAGCTTTTCATGCGACGAACAGACATGCCGGGAAAGTCTTAAATATTTCACCCGCCAAACGGGTATTCTGTCTTCCTTCTCTCTCTCTCTCTCTCTCTCTCTCTCTCTCTCTCTCTATCCTAACTCTTTTACCTATATAGGTTCCTCTCTAAATACGAAGTTTAACTTCGCAATTGAAAACCGTGTTTTTGGAAATCGGAGAAATGCCTTGAAAATCAGCATATTCTTAGCTTTTCATGCGACGAACAGACATGCCGGAAAGTCTTAAATATTTCACCCGCCAAACGGGTATTCTGTCTTCCTTCTCTCTCTCTCTCTCTCTCTCTCTCTCTCTCTCTCTCTCCTAACTTACCTCTTTACCTATATAGGTTCCTCTCTAAATACAAAGTTTAACTTCGCAATTGAAAACCGTGTTTTGAAATCGGAGAAATGCCTTGAAAATCAGCATATTCTTAGCTTTTCATGCGACGAACAGACATGCCGGGAAAGTCTTAAATATTTCACCCGCCAAACGGGTATTCTGTCTTCTCTCTCTCTCTCTCTCTCTCTCTCTCTCTCTCTCTCTCTCTCTCTATCCTAACCTCTTTACCTATATAGGTTCCTCTCTAAATACAAAGTTTAACTTCGCAATTGAAAACCGTGTTTTGGAAATCGGAGAAATGCCTTGAAAATCAGCATATTCTTAGCTTTTCATGCGACGAACAGACATGCCGGGAAAGTCTTAAATATTTCACCCGCCAAACGGGTATTCTGTCTTCCCTTCTCTCTCTCTCTCTCTCTCTCTCTCTCTCTCTCTCTCTCTCTCTCTCTCTCTCTCTCTTTCTCCCCCTTTTCCACCCATCTCTTTTCCACCTCCTACTTCTCTCACTCTCTCTCTCTCTCTCTCTCTCTTTTTCTCCTTTCGCCTCCTCACTTTCTAACGCCTTTTTCTCCCTTTCTCCTCTTTACTTCTCCCTCTCCTGAACTTTCACTCCTTAGACATCCTCCTCTCTATTTTCCATTCTCTTTCCTTCCGCTTCTTCTCTCTCTCTCACTCTCGCGCTCTTTCCATTGTATTCCATTTTCTCTTTCTCTATTTCTTTTTCATTTTCTTCTTTCTCGCTCATTCTTTCTCCACTCTATCCCACTTACCCTTTCTCTCTCCCTATATATATATATATATATATATATATATATATATATGTTGTGTGTATTTAGGCAGCATCTTAGATTGTATTAAAAAAAAATATGGATCTATATTGTGAATTTCTTTCTTCGTTCAATTATAATGTTATTAAACTTATTAGACGTTATGAAAAGAGTTTACATAAAATAAATAGACAACACTTGTCTATATTACAGTGTAACCCGGATATAAGAGAGTTGTCGGGACCGGAGAAGAAGTCTCTTATATCCGGGTTTCTCTTATATCCGGATTTGGTCTATTTTATATAGATGAACACAGGCTCTAATTTGGGACCAGAGAATATTTTCTCTTATATCCGGGTTTCTCTTATATCCGGGTCTCTTATATCCGGGTTACACTGTATTTAATGAAACGTGTACATATATATATATATATATATATATATATATATATATGTCCTTGTCTCCTCTCTCTTCTTTCTCCCCTTTTCTATATTTCTTTCTCGTTTCTCTCCTTCCCTCTAGCTTTCTTCCCACTCTATCCCATTTTCTCTTTCTCGCTGATATTCTTTTCATCTCTCTGTAGACAGTAAATAACGATTGACATTTTTTAAGGAAGCATTTATTTTATTAAGGCGTATGTGATGTGCAGTGGCATAACGTCGGATATAATGGTATTCCGGAATTGACATTTACCCTCTTTCTCTCTCTCCCTCTCTCTCTCTCTCTCTCTCTATATATATATATATATATATATATATATATAGAGAGAGAGAGAGAGAGAGATAGATATAGATATAGATCTTCTCTCTCTCCTTTTCTATATTTCTTTCTCTTTTCTCTTCTTCCTCTCACTTCCCACTCTGTCCAACTTTCACTTTTTCTCTTCCGCTCATATTCTTTTCATCTCTCTCTCTCTCTCTCTCTTTCTCTTTCTCCTTTCTTCTCTCTAACTCTCCCTACCTCTATATCACTTTCGCTTCCTCTCTCCGTCCCTAACTCTTTTCACCCACCTCTCTCTCTCTTCTCCACATCTTCTCTCTTTCTTTCCCTTGTTTCGGGCTCTTTTTCTCCTTCCTACTCATCTCTTACTTTCTCTTTCATTATATATGTCTACAAATAAATCCCACCGAAAAGAGAAATGAACGACTTTGACATTTGTCTTGCTTGATACGGTGACAAAGCAGACAGCCAAATGGACAGGAGCCATAATTGACAAGGCATTCTCTTAAGCCGGCTCCCTGACGAGCGATGTCACCCATTCAGAAAAATGGAAGTAATTTCAGTGTCATTGTCTACAGTTGCTAATTGTAGATATGCAATGACAATCGCCATGTTCAGTCACGGTCAGGTATCTCCCCCCTTTACGATCAAAAACAAAGTTTACTGTACATCAGACCCCGCCTCACACACACACACACACACACACACACACACACACACACACACACACACAACTCTAACTGCTTCACTTTCTTCCTCCACTCCCTGGGCCTCGATATTTCTTGAATTCGACCTGTCTAAACACCATATACAATTCGTTTCACAACACTCAATTGCAGTTGACTTCAGCTAAGTCATTCATTGTGTTCCGGCATGGTAAAATCCATTTTGTCAGCCATGTTACCAATATCACAGGAAATAACAGAATGAAGTAAACAAAGATGTCGGTCATTATCAAAAGATCACAATAATTTATAGAAAAACACACGCACATATATATATATATATATATATATATATGCATGTTTCATTAAAAATGACAGACAGGTTACTACGGTTGAGCTTTTTATTTAATTTTTCTTGTGTTCTAACAAGAGCTTTCTTTTCTGGACAAAGAGTGTGTAAAAACAGTCCAAATGTTTTATATTTCCGAGCGCTTTCGGTTATACCTTTAGCCATTATCAAGGATGATTCGATTTTTCAGCTTAATTGAGTGTGTGCATTATGTGTATGTCTTTGTGTGTGGTAGGGATGTTTTTAATTTTCGAATACGGTTAGCACATTGTGGCTTTGTTCGTAGTTAATATTGTTAAGAGTTGGCTTTTTCTTTTTTATTATTAAAGCTTCCATTATTTTTAGTCTTTTTTTACATGTGGATGAAGTTATTATATTTGTGTTTTCTACTGGTAATGTTTCTAATGGTGTCTGGTAAAATTTTGTGTGTGTTTAAATGGGTTCTAATGGAGCTGTGATCAGATAGGTGTAATGTAAGTATGTAGTTGTGTAACCGATATTTATGAGTCCAGTTTGAACAGGACCACAGTTCTTTAAGGGGAATTTGAACTCATAGATAATGTTCGTTCTTTGTGAGTTTAACTTAATATCGTTAGCTGTCAAATTATATATATATATATATATATATATATATATATATATATATATATATATTGTGTTATTTAGGAAGCAATTTTTCATTGATTTATGTTTCATTAAATAATATAGACAAGTTTTTATTTATTTTACGTTCCTTTCATATTTCATTTTACGTTCCTTTCATATTGTCTGATAAGCTTACTAACATTATCATTGAAAGACGAAAGGAAATCACCATATTGATTCATATTAAAATCCAATCTAAGCTTTCGGCTAACATAAGCCATTATCAAAGATGACAATTACATTTCAATATATCAACCAATACACGGACGAAACAATAATGATAGTCTTTTTTTCTTGTATGAAAAATTTCAAAGCAACAACTAACTCTTGTATACGAGACGCGGAAGCGAAAATCGCGTCGCAGCTCGTGACATGACACATGACCACGCGAGAATGAAAACGAGAAGTATTAAGTATGGGAAGCCGTTGGTATAATCCAATGGCTTCTGTTATCAATTATAGGCATTTGAGAATATTTGTGGAGATTTTATAGTTTATTTTGTTTAGGTTAGGTTTCAACTGTTTTATGTATATAGCTTCAAGAATTTTTAGTTTTTGTTTATTGTTTTCCTGTTTAAGTATAATTGTGTTTTCAACAAGTATTTTCCTGAATTGTGTATGCGGCTATGCCTAAAAATGTTGGAGTTATCATTCAAATGTAGTGTCATGCGTCGTGAAAGCGAGTTTATGGTGTGACCAACATAAATATTATTTAATCCATTGGAAATACAATCTCCCAAAGGACACTTGAATTTGTAATCTATGTTGGTTTTTTGCAAATCGCTAACGGGGAGTGAGGAAGAATCATTGTGAATAATTAAGTTGGATATACTAGATTTAGTGTAGTTTATGATTAAACTAATTTTTTTGCTAGGATCTTTTTTAGTATATTTTCATCTTGTTTATAATTAGTATGCATTTGACTACGATATAAGAGATTAATATGCTTGGGATTAGATGAAGCAGTATTCTGTTTTATTTGCTTAGTATTTAGATTTCTAAGAAAGCATTTTATTTGTTCATCAACTATATAGTTTGGAAAGCTATAATTAATATAATTAATAAGTGTTATATATATATATATATATATATATATATATGTGTGTGTGTGTGTGTGTGTGTGTGTGTGTGTGTGTGTGTGTGTGTATTTTGGCAGTAATCCTTCTTTCATGCATATTTTATTGAATACGAGAGACAAGGTGCTTTCATTTTTTCTTTTTCTTTTCATATTATAGATTATTAAAAAAATGTTCTTTTTTCCGAGCGATTTCGGCTATACATTTAGTCATTTTCAAGGATGAAATATTTTAACTATTAAATAAGAAATAGTTTGTTGCATGTAGGTATTTATATAATGGTATATATATATATATATATAGATAAACCTAGTGAGCCAGACAAACCTACCTAGGTTTCACCTAAATGGATTGTCAGGGAAAGCCGACTTTCCCTGACGATCCGTTTATGTGAAACCTAGGTTGGTTTGTCTGGCTCACTAGGTTTATCTAGGTCTGCTCTACCGTTGTATTGAGCTCTTTTGTTAGTTGTTTACTCGGGTCGGTTTTTTTTTCTTTGGACTTCAGGCCTGCATCTGTGCGATTTTTTTTGACAGACTTTCATGTTTCTAGCTCTTTCTTTTTTTAAAACCTTTTTTTCCCTCAAGATTGATTTGATTATTGGCAAATCAAAAATTCGAGGGTTTTTCGAAACAGTATAGTTATCTATATTTGTATTTATATATATATATATATATATATATATATATATATATATAAGTAACGAAAATCTTGGTAATTCGTATGTATAATCCCAACGAGGATGAAATCCTGAGACCTCAATGTTAATTCAGACCGAATAATTTAATTTAAAAAAAAAACGACCACTTTAAGGCTCCACTGTAATAATTTATTTCACCAGAGACTTTTATTTTTCCTTGGATCTTCAAACATCACTTTCAAAAGGTGAAACGAAAAAGGAAATTAAAATTTACACTTTTGACGGGCAGTATTAAGGTTATATAAGTTGATATAGTAGGTAGTGAGGGATGGTGTGAGTGACATGGTCGCGTTTAGAGAGGGAAGGGAGAGTTTTAAAATTTATTTTTATATTTCTTTTTATTATAATACTTAATATTGCGAGAGGAGGGGGTAAGGATCAGACATTGAGCTATTTAATCGGAAATGATATAGGCAAAAGAAAAGGAGAAAATAATATATAAAAAATAAATATATAAAAATAAATATCTAATAAAATATCTAACTATATATATATATATGTACAATAGAGTAAAGCCCACAAACCTTATAATCCCCACTTTTTCTCTTTTAGTAAAAAGAGAATGTATTTTGCTTTTAAATCTAAATAAATCGTTTACTCGCCAGTAATTTACAATCGTCTGATGAGATACATTGATACGCATCGAAACACGATTGGGCTAGAATTGTGGAGCAATTTTGACGTGTTTTCGATGTAATGTCCTTATATATATATATATATATATGAAAAGTCGGTCTTGGCCTTGTCGCTAACTTGGAGCATGTGTCGAAAAATTGCAGCCGTGCAGCAATTTTCGACGGATTTGCATTACCCAACTCCCATAAATAGTGGAAATAATCGATTTTTTCATGCTTCTACGGCACTTTTCATGTAGTTTGCGGCCATTTTCTACTGGCAAGAGCGAGAGCCTATAGCTGACTGCCACGAATAGGCAGGAAGATTCTTTTGGCCAGCGTGAGAGCCAACAGCTGACTGACACGAATGTTAACTAGCATGCTAGCATGCAAAAAAAATCGATCATTGCATTCGACACAAGTGGGAAAAATTAAAATCTGCATGACACTTTACTCCAATTGGCTCATTCGCTTGCTTAAAATCAATGTTGATTCTGATTCCGCAGAACTGGGTTGGGTGTGAAAAAGTATTTGTTGTTAACATTCTTTTTTCATTCGGTTTTTCCAGTTACGAGTCCTTTCTTGAAGCTGATCGTTTTGTGTTCATTTTGTTTAGTTCTTTTTTCGCAACAGATTTAATGTTTAGTATAGAGCTTAGAAAAACTTCGCAGTGTGAGATAGGCAAGAAGTAAGGCATGTAGCAACATCAGTACGGCAAAGGGCACTCCTTTAAAGGCAAGGAAGGGCAAAAATATTTTAAGTCAAGTGATAGCGATTGATATATGAGTCGTACGATTTTTGAATCAAGCACGGGCAACGCC